AGCGAGGATGATGTTATTCTGCGGAGCCTGGTGTGCTTGGAGGAGGGGAAGACGGAAGCGGGGGGGGGGCAGGAGACACCCCTTGACCGAGTACGGAGGTCAGTATGGGGGATGCTGTATGCCGATGATGCCGGCGTCGTATCGAGGCATGCAGAAGGACTGGCGAGAATCATGACCATCATCGTTGAGATGTTCGGGGAATTCGGGCTAACGGTGTCGGAGAAGAAGACGGAGACGCTCCTAATGCGCGCAAAGGACAAGCCGACTACAACATTACAGCCCGCTCCGCCTCCACCGCTGACCATCGAAGCCGCGGGACAGAAATACGCCTAGACGACCGAGTTCCGGTACTTCGGTGGCCTCGTCAACGGACATGGCGACCTCACCCGGGAGACCAACTACAGGAACAGAGGAGCGTGGGCGTGCCTCAGGCGATATGGCCGGGAGCTCTTCGACAGACCGTAAGCGCCATTCCGACTCAAGATCCGCCTGCTCCAGGCGGACCAATTGAGTTGCTTCCGCTTTTCCATTATTAGGAATAAAACAAAGTTGTAGACCATTACCAAGAGCTACAACTTCATTTTTGTTTTTGTCGTGAAATGAAATTGACATTGAAGAGAACCTAAGTCTTCAAAATATGGAAAAAAAAGGTACCAATTCTTGAAAAGTAAAAATATCTTTTAAAAGGAAACAATATATATTTTCATGTGCTGGAGATCGTAAACCTTCAAACTGTTTTATAATTGGTAAGACGTCAAATAAAAGTTTATATAACAAAGCATCTACATTATTGATCCCCGAAGAGTAATTTTCGGAGGCGATGGGGGCACTGCTGTACGGCCACTATCAAACGCTGCGGTCGATACACCACCGACTGCTCCTTCGAGTTATCGGGTACAAGCGCAAGAAAGACACCTACCGGCAGCTCTCTTACGCCCAGACGCTGAAGAGGGTCGAATGTCAGAGCGCTGAAGCCACGATCCGACAACGACGCCTACTGTTCGCGGGAGCATTGGCAAGGCAGCCGGACGGGCGACTCCCGAAACGACTGATGCTCGGCGAACTGGCAGGGGGGGAGAAGCGACGTAGGGGGGGACAGGAACAGAACTGACCGAACTATGTGCTCGACGACCTGAAGGCAGTCGGGGCCGACCACGGATCTACGAAAACCGATCCATGTTGTCTCGGAATCCCGGTACCGAAAGACACGGTACCGAAGTTCAAGTGGACGGAAGCCGTGAAGGTAGAGGGGGGAGTACCCTGGCATGCGACGGTGCTGCAGGGAGCTGAGAGGTTCATGACCTCCTGGCACGAGAAGGAAGAAGAGGCCAGCCGACAACGGGCGCTCAAACGAAACCACAAGCCACCAACCAATGGGGCGGGAGGGGGGCAGGAGACGGACGAGACGGCGAGGGAAGAAAGCAAACGAGAAGAGACGGACCGAGTGGCTCGATACGTGCCGGATATAGTTCTTTTCGCCAGTTCCCCCCCCCCCAACCCTGCACCATTGCACCAAGCCCCCAACTAGCGTTGACGTACCATTACAATGCATCGCTGGTTGGTGGCCATGTTTGCGTGTTTGCTTGTCGTTAGTGGTCTCTCCACCGTGTGCCTTTTCTGTCTCTTTTTCTTGTTATTTCGGCCTGGTCCCCTTTTGTCCTGGCTCTTTTTATTTCATTTTCTCTTTCCTTAGTCTACTGTTTCCTTTTATTTTCTTCTTTTCTCTCTTTACATAGCAGTCCCTTCGTATGTCCGCAGTGATCTTTTTTTCTGAGCCAGATGGCCTTGTCTCTGCATGCGTTGTGAAGTACCAAGATTGAACCAAGGGGGTGTACCTCATTCTTTCCGGCCCGTGATGGTGACTCCTAGTCTCAGTTGCTACCTCGCATAGCGCGCAGAGGGAGTGGAGGACTCCAGAATATCTGTCGTTGATTTCTATTGACTTGAGGACCCCTCGGGGCAATTTTGTTTGAGTGTACCTTTTTAGGGTAAGTTAGCCTGCGACCACGGGAATCGACGGCGTCGAGTGTTGGATCAGTACGGGCATACGAAGGTACTGGGTAAATTTAGAGGGAGATCGGAACGGTTTTTAATGTGAAGACAACAACAACAACAACAACAATCCCCGGATCTCCGCTTTTCCTTCTTAGTAAAGTAAATAATGATGACCGAACGAATAGCCCGCGAGGCCGCGAGCCGCGAGTCGCATCCCTACTTTCTTTTGCCCCGCGCCAATTTCCGCATAGCGTGTGGTAGGAGGTGTACGGGTAGTCGGGTCGCCGCGCACGCCGGCGAGCCCCCTTGAGCTGCTGGTGGTCAAATATCGTCCATCTCCCAGCAGACCAGGGGATTGTTGTACTCTGCTCATTGTTGAGCGAAAACAAGTGGAAATAGCCGAGGGTGAGGGAGGACGTGGCTTCCGACGCTACAACCACTGGTGTAGATGAGATCATACTGCTGTGCATACAGCGACAAGCAGCAGCTCTTCTCTCAGCAGCGTCGCATTTCGGAAGGCTGCTCACAACCACTAGGTGAGACGCACTTCGATGGACAGGGCGATGCACTGCTGGCGGCGCGGCACAAGCTGTCGCCATCGCTACCTCGGTAAATTACAAGGCGGGCGGGTTACTGGAAGTCAGATCTTGTGTGTGTGTTTTGTGTCTTGTGTTCCGGCGTTGTGTGCATGCAGCGGCCTTTCCGGAACCAAGTGAAAGGGCCTTGCCTTTGCTGTGCGGAGTGGCGCGGGTGAGAATACCCAGGAACACGTGTTGGTCTCGAGGGTTGCTTCGGGCTTCAGCCGTCGCCATGTGGTACCGTCTCGACACATCAAAGAGCGGGAGAGCCAAAGCGGGTTTACTTTGTTGGCTCTGTGGGTTCTGTGGGACGTCCTTGTTTTGCCGTTCGTGGAATGGCGGGACTGCTGCGAGGTGTGGGCATCGATTTGTGCACAGCTGTGTGGTGTGTGTCTCTCCCACCAATACGCTCCATGGCTACTGCTGCAGCTCGCCTCGTGTTGTTCGCACTCTACACCAAATCGTCGTAGCTGACTCTCTCTCACATGCAGCAGACATGATGAACTTGCGAACCATTCCTTCCATGACGTGCTGCGGACTGCTGTAGCGGCGTCGACATACATCCTGTACATCCAGAGTCTATATTATGTTTTGGGCTGCAGCTGGAAGGAACATTTTTCGCTGTAAATCGCGTACCATTCGGTTCTTGATTTTCCGTGCAGTCTGTCCTGTTGCTTGCTGTGGCTGCCTCCGATTTCTCTCGCCGCCCCTCTGGTGTGTGTGGCTGACCCGGCCAGAGCACGTGGCGAATATAGTCCTGCTGCTCTTGCTTGTTGGGTGGGGAGAACGCTGACTCCTATGTGTCAAGATAGCGAATGTCTCACCCTTGCCATCCCGCCTCTCGGGCTGATGATGATGTTACCTGGTTGCCACCGCTTTCACCATAATAAACTCGCGGCTATCTAAACAACCGTTCGAGAATGTGCCCGCCAAAGATTCCGGCATTGCTCTTCTACAGCGAGAACAATCAGCAGGTGTTGGCGAAATCTGTTCACCAAGGGTCAGCTCTGTGCGATGTGCATGTTTGCATTCAGCCAGAAGGTTGGACAGGTGCTTGCCGTTAGACAACACAAAAGTTTAGCTGCCCTTTGTGGTATGGAAAACTATGAAATGGTGTGACAAGACGAGAGCACCCGTTGATGGTGCTTCGGTGGACATTTTGAGTTCGTCAATATTGAAGTTACTTTTCGGCTTCCCTACGGCGAAGCGTAATCAAATCAACTGATTGTTGTTGTCTTTACGTTGTAAATCCGTTCCGATCGCTCCACAGACAAGCAGTATACCCCTCCCCCTGCCTGAATGGCATTGCAAAATGTCGCAGGATAGTCTGCAATAGTGCTTGAGGAGGGAGCGAGCGAGCTACAGCGGGACCATGGAGGAGGAGGTCGTAGGGGATGAGGGGTGCGAAGGGGCAGACGACGATGAAAACAACGGCGGTAGAGTCGCTTCGAATCCCCAAGTGACCGAGACAGGTAGTACCTTACTGGGACGTGTAGTAGAGGGCGAAAACGGCGCACATGATCAGGAACATTCCCCAAAAAGGAACGGCTTTTTCGCGGAGAACGGGAGGCGTGGAGATGATGCACGAGTCCCAGGCAAGGGGGTTCTGCTGCTACGGCTCATCGTCCTTGCCACCATGGCGCTCTGCATGTCGTGGGTCGGAGGTGAAGACGTACTATTCAGTGCACCCGGGGATGGATCGGTCCTGAAACGGATTCAGAAAGCGCGCAAAACACCACAAGTAGTAGTTCAGGGTTGTCACGCACGTACCGGCCCGACGCGATCCTCGTGGCCTGTTCGTACTGGCCAATTCATGTGATCGATGGAGGCTGAACCACTATCAATAGACTACTCAGTCACGGATTTGTAGTGGAACGGTTTAGCCTCTTGACTCACTACAGTCTTTGTCAGAAGTCTGATTATAATTATTATTTTGTTTGCCCTCCGACAATTGCAGATAAATGCAGACATACATGAAAAGTCGATCGTAAAGGCCGTCATGCCAAGCCAAATTAACTCGATGCCCAATAGCTAGGAATGTTTGCCTATAAGTCAACAAAGCTTTGGTCGAAACACTCCAGCTGATCGTTTTGTCTGACGAAGTACGCTAATGGTTTCGCCTTCATGGATTGATCATCATGCGCTCCAAGAATGCCCGAAGAAGTTGAGCATGGCAGCCGGCGCTACATGACTCCTATTTTGAATCTGGTTTGCCGTCTCGTCAACAGGTGGCGGGAAAATCGAACAAAATACGGCTCTACACGGCACAGTAGATGATGGCGATCTCATCGAATTAGACGACATCAACTTGGGCACGAGGGGGGAGGGTCGGGGGGGCAAGCGCCGACTCCCCGTCGTACCCTTCAGCTCCAGTTGCCCTTATGCCATCCCTTCAGAAGAGGAGGCGCGTGAGAGAAGCGGAAACACATCCGCGCCCGGAAACGTCGTTGTCGTAACGGACTTCAACTACTGCCGCTTGGGCAACCGTTTCACTTCCATGAGCCGGAGCCTGAGTCTAGGGTACTGCTGCAAATCTAGACTGGTAAGTCGCCCATCCTTTCGCTACGAGCTGCAGGGTAGTCGGTGCGTAGGGTGAGTGCTTTGGTCCTCCTGTGGCCTTTCGGTGCGGGTGGTATGATCAGGTTAGTTTGCGCTGCTGTGAGCGAACAGCGGCGGGTCATAGACCGCGCTACCGGATACAACACAAAGACACGAGATATTTCTGCAGCATCGGGCAACAACGGTCGGTGTTTCATAGCAGGGTTCAGGACGTGCAGGTGTTTTCAGCCTGAAGTCTGCCACCGCATCGGTTGAGACTTCACCCTTGTCTAAAAAAGTATATTCCCAAAACCGAGGAAATCACTTCGCGCTTTTGACGTGTGCGTGGGGCGTCGGAGGTGCAAGTACTGGTACACCTCGAGAAGACTGCGGTAGGTTGCGTAAGACACCACACCCCCCGGGCTTCATTTTACACAGCGCGATTACTCTGGAGCGTGGGTAGTGACGGTGCCGAAAATGACGGGGTTGGAACCGGCTCATGCAGAGGCTTTCCGAGACGCGTACTTGGTTTAGCATCCTCCTCGTCGTGGAGTGAATCGAAGTATAGAAAGCGGTCCCAGGGTGTGCGGTGTCTTACGCACTCTACGGTACGTTGTCAAGGACATGTTTGGCAGGGTATACCCGTACCCTCAGGTATTTGTTAGACTGTATACAATTTGTCTTTTTTACTTTTTGGCACTTTTGGGTTTCTTCGGACTCTTCGACTCCAGAAACACGTCAGCTGTGTCAGCTGTTCGAACTTGGGGTTCCAACGCGTTCAAAGCTGTCCGATTTTCAAAGTTGTGGCAGCTGGCATCAATTGTCCCCAACACATGATTTGCTTTCATCTTGCATCACGCCTTCATGACACTACGCTACTCTGTTCTGATGAGCCCACATTGGAGGCGTGCCTTACTAAGTCATCAAAACCTTGGGTAGGGTACGGGAATTGCCCGAGCGCATTACCCGGATCCCCAGGTTTTCCATACAACGGTGGTCCTTCATACCGCGGTCCCGACTATGCGGTGTCCCGATATACACCGCGGTTGTTTTCGCTCGCCTCTTCACCGCGATATATCGGGGCCATCACTGCCGTACCCTACCAAACCTATCCTAGAAATCTTTTAACGCGAGCTTTGCATCAAAACGCCGCAGTTGTCGCTGCCGCCAAAGGACGAACAACTCGCCCCCGGCCGTTTCAACGAAGGCATTCCTGGGCCTAGGAACTTCGACTTTTCAAGCGCGCCAGACGTGGAGGGTTTCGACTATTCCAGCTGCCCGCCTGAGATCACGTGGGGCGGAACAAACGCATTCCACCTACAAGGACGTGAGTCGATAGCGTAGTGTGTTCCGCGCAGACAAGCACTTTCTACCCGCTGTAAGGACGAAAGAGAACGGATAATGTGATGGATATTGATGTCTTCCAAGATGGCAGATGCGTTCTACCTGTGACCCTAAACAGTAGTGGATGGTTTCGTTGTCTTCACGAGAGAAAAACCCCGCTGTACCTGTGAGCCAGTAGCGGGAATTGAGCTGTGGTGTGCGTTCACGGGACCGTTGAATAGTGGATGGTTTCAAGGGCAGGTTTGGTAGGGTATGCAAAACTCGGGTATCCGGTTACTGCACGCGGGTTGCCCGCGTACCCGAACTCGGGTGACTTTGGTAGGACATTCCAAACCCTACCCAAAAACTGGGTAACATTAACATATCTAGCCTATGAAATCTACCCGAGGGTACGGGTATTCCTGACCAAACCTGCCCCTGGATGGTTTCGGTGTGTGTTTTCTTCACGGAGACAGATGTGTGCTACAGTCAGGGGCCCTCAATGGTGCGGGTATTGGTGTGCCAAGCTCCTTTACCCGCACAATCGCGGGCGCCTGCACCATTCAATGTATATCCCATAAACCATCTGGATTGTTCCATCTTTGCGCGCCTATTTCACCCCATTCTACCGGACACCCGAACTGTATTACCCACATTGCAGAGGGCCCCGACTGTAGATAGTTTTGGTATGCCTCACGGCGACCAACGCGTTTTGACTTTGTCAGCCAATGGTGGATGGTTTTTGTGTGCTCCTCGGAGAGAAGCTCTGTTCTTGTCGCGTGCGGGCCAGTACTACTGTCGGGCCGTATGCACTTGCGACGTAGATAATGTGAATGACGGGTGGTGGAGGAGGGCACGGAAACACGGCATCGTGAGTGGTGTTGCGGTGGTGTAGCCGATTGCATACATGATACCGGGCGGAAGGGTGGCAAGGCTTGGCGGTGCACATGAGCATGATTGCGGACCACCGAATTACACAAAACGCTATGCTTTCGCCGGCAGGCAGGGCACTCCACACTGGAGCAGGCGTCCTGCTTCAGAGGAATATGTCATGTTTTCCCCGCCGTATGAACACACTGTCAGATAATACCCTAGGTGCTCCTGTACGCCCAAAATGAACGGTGAAGCAGGGAGAAACCCCCCATGTGTCGGAAATATTACACCGACGGTGCAGTTCTGCCGTGGCGTCGGCCACCAAGCCTTAACTCGTGACCCAAGGCCCGTGAATTGAAGCGGGATGTCACGCTTATCAATGAACGCCGTCACCAATTCGTGACTCCTCTAGCTGCGGCGTGAGTGGAAGAGGAGGAGCAACGAGGTTTCTGCTGCACGAATTTTGTAACTTCGCGGCAACTATACTGAGAACGCATTCCCATCTTTCGTATCGACTTGCTGCCAATGGAAGCTGTTGAGACCAACCTCCTACCCCGCCCTCCCTGGATGCCATCTCTTTTTAGCGTACAGAACGGGCCCGCAGTTGTCAAGAATTATTTCGCCAAGAAACAGACGCTCAGATTTTCACGAACTCTAAAAAAGTTAAAGACACAGTTCAGCCGTGGATCTTCGACTAAACTCTACATAGCAACAACCTGTGCTCGACAAAGGTGAGGAAAAATGACCTCAATCCTCGACCCGATTGGCTGCTGAAATGGTCGCAATACACAGTGTTACAACGCCTGTGTCTTGTTTTTGAGTATTTTTTATATTTTCAGTTTCGGGGACGAAATTTGTTGACCTCATGCCTCCGGGCCCGTCCTGTTTTAGTACGCGACGAAGGTCACCCGTACTACACCCCGGAGCTGTTCGAGTGCATCAAGGAACTCCCCCGGATAGCGGGGTGTGAAGCGGCCTATTTCTTCCCGAAAGACATGGCCGTTGACATGTGTCCGTTGGACGAAACGGCCGAACGAGACCACAACAACAGCAACGTCAGAGATGTATCGGAGAAACCAAGGGATGATGCGCCCGGGGTCCGGTTGGATTGGGGAGAAAGGGGACAAGGGCGGGAGGCCACAGGACAGGAGGCCACAGAACAGGAGGAGGAGGAGAAGGAGGAGGAGAAGGAGGAGGGATCTGCTGGAAACTTGGTGGTGCACGTGAGGTCGGGAGACATTTTCGTTAGACCGCATCCGGACTACGGCCAGGTAACAACAGGAGGTTGGTCGTTTTGTGTCTCAGAAGGGGTTTGGTAGCTGGTGGTAGGGGCCTTGACTGCTGTTTTGAAAGTCGTTTTCGATGTGTACCCTCGGGCAGTGAGTTCCGCTGCATTGAGTCGTGTACATAAGGAGTATCGTTGTTGTTCAACACTATTTATTGCTCATATATACTTATTCGCTGTTCAGAGTCATTGATACAGGAATATCATTGTGGAACAGGGCAATATAGAGTCCATCTTTATTCACCGGGTAGCGTCTGGAACATATTCAATTTCCATAGATAAATTTAATGAATCCTCAAGTGTGCGTCATCCTTCCCATCTTTCTTCTTGTGTTATCGCTGTTTCAACACTTCGAAGGCACAGCATATTATGTCCTTATGTTTTTTGTGGAAACCTTCCCATCTTCCTTCGCGTGTTGATCCAAAGCCACCCTTACAGTATTACGTGCGAAGGTATGCCGCATTGTTGTGTCATCGTTCCCATCTTCCTTCTTGTGTTTTCACTATCACAATACTTCTATGGTACTGAATATACTTTTTGTGCATTCTTTCCCGTCTTCCTTCGTGTGCTGCTCGAAAAGTCACCATTGCAGCACTACGTGCGAGCCATATCCTTCCCATCTTCTTCCTTTGCATGTTGAACTAAAGCCACCATTGCAGTATTACGTGCGGGCCATACAAGACCAGGAGTGGGACCGGGTCGACGTCGTCACGGACGGCATCGTAGACGAAACCCATGCCATCAACCCCGTCGTCCCAGCGCTCGAAGCGAAAGTGGCAGAGGGTGAGCTCGCCGGGAACATCCACTTCCACAAGGTGCGTCAACGGGTCCAGACGGTCACAGTCAACCCCGCCTCGTCGTTTTGTTAATGATGTTTGGTACGTGGTTGGTGGTCCCGAGCGGGGGCTGAGTGCTTGAGGGCGAGGAGGAGGGGCAGAGATGGACAAACGGTTTGACGTGTCTTGATTTAGAGACACGCATTTTTATTGCATGAAAGTGGATGTGATGTTCCGGGGGCGCCTCTATATTGTATATTTGCGGCTCACCCTGCTTCTGAGGTTTTCGGTTTCCTTGTTTCCATTGAGCGGGGGGTCAGCTTTGGATGCGTCCCTTGAAACGGGAACGACCGTTACAAGGAGTACAAGGACAAGAAAGGCGTGCATCGGACCGCCTTCGCGAGAAAGGCGTGCATCGGACCGCCTTCGCGAGAAATCAATTTTACGAGGAAATAGAACAGGAAGGGGGTACGGAAACCCTATACCTAACCGTAACCCCATTTCGCCTAATTGCGTGCTTTATTCGACATGTTGACTACAATCGACAAACACTTCTAAGGCTTCTGCATGTATGATAATCACGCGGATGGCAAAGTGTGCCAAGTCATCATTTTGCCATGACGCCTGCATACTTGTGGGAGATCTGACCAACGACAAGCATTGAATGTCTCGATGATGTATGATTCTTCCCGCGTGTTCCGTGGTACCTTCATCCTCGTTGCTCCCTTCGTCAGGTTAATATGATTGGTTTAGCTTGTGCACGCATTCCCCGCCCCCCCCCCCGACCCCCCGCAAGAGGCGCACCCCTTGATTTGTTCGGCTATAACGACCTCGCCATTGCCATCCAAGGTACTTTGCAGTTGGACCGATCCGCAATCGCTTCAGGGCAGCTTGTCAATGCCCTTTCGTGTTGCTGTACCACTTCCAGCTCAGAGTATCCTCCGTCCACACGAACAGTTAGCGCCAGCGGTTGAGAAATATACCTTGAAGAAACCGAGGCTCAAATTATGGTAAATCAGAAAGATGGACTAAGAAACACACCTCAACCGTGGATCCTACACAACACTTTGTTACTCGACGGCGGTGACCAAAACAAAATTAAGCCTCGACACCAACACGACGTTTCTTGCACGCGGGCCCCAACTGTATGAGAACACGGTTTGCCTTACCGTCGAGGTTGCTAAGCGTGATGGCACACCTCCCTGTCTATACATTTTACAGGCCCGGAGATGCGAAATATCGAAATCTGGTCGAGGCTCGGATTTATATTTGATGGCCGCCGCTGTCAAGGAGAGGTTTTTATGTAGAGTTTGTGTGAGGATCGTCGGCGGAAAAGGTGTGTTTCTTTTTAGCGAAATCTCCAAAATTTTCGTGAAAGGTTGAGTCTCTGCGTCTTAACGAAACATTTGTTAACTTCTGGCCCAAACTGCTGTACCATCGTTTCAACCTGGGCGTTGGACGTGGGCATGCGCCTGCCAGAACCGCACGATAGGGGAGGATCTCCGGTACATGATCTGCGCGGACGGTTTCGTGGCGGCGAGATCGACCTTGAGACATGTCGTTTCGCACCACTCATCGGCCAAGCGGATGTACTTTCCCATGGCGTGCAACGAAAAGCTCAAGACTCTTAGCACCGAGAGACCTGGGACCCAGGTCAGTCGTAGAACTGAGGGCCCCAAATATAGCGGTGGTGGTGCAGCTGATTATGACCGCCTCATATTGGGCACCCGCGTTCCTCAATGTGAAGAACAACGTGATCGTTCAGTCTTTGTCAGCCAATTTGATTCACCTCATGTAGGACGACCGCCTTGTTCATTCCGCCTTGTTCTGGGACCCCCACGGTACATGTATTTTGGAGAGGTGTGGATGGCGTAGGCGCGAAGGAAGCGTGTAGGAGTGGCACCTGGGGGCGATGAAAACCCCAACTCTTGCCGTATCTCTTTCGTTGTCTTTCAGCCTGTCAGCCAGCCTTGTCTGTCTGCGTGTCTGTCTCCGTGTCTCGAACAATGAAGGACGAATGAATTGCGGTGAACAAGTGCACAATGAAGGGCGGGGAAAAAATACCGTTCCGGTTGTCTCCTCCGTGTCGTTCTTTACCCCGCAGGCTTCGGGTTTAGCGTTTCGTTTGACTTTTCCTCTGTTCTTCCAGAATATTTCGGCTCGTCTTGTACAACATCAGGTCCGTGCTTCTCGCCTTATTTCCTGACAGAAAAAAAGGTTACTACGATTTACCCCGTTGCGCATGTAGGCACAAAAGTTGCTATTTTCTCGTTGTTTTGCCTCTTCCCTTGGTCCTGACAGAAGATTAATGACTGGGGTTTGACGCACGCTTGAAGGCCTGACTTTGCTTGTGGCCCCTGTTTTTCATCGCTTCCCGTGCTGTATTTTATCGTTTCCTCCCTTGAAACGCCTGAAGGTGTTTGGCATGGCTTCGTGGAACGACCAGTATACCGTGTACCAGCGCTGGAACAACACGGCCGATCAGCTCACGGAAATGATGACCTTCGACGTCGGTGGCTTCGAGCAGTGCACCGCCCGCAGACCATAGGACCGTACGATCGATGATCCCTACGGAGTGGGCTGCGGGTCATTAAGGGGTGATGCTAAGGGGTGGTGCAATAGAAGGAAACAAGCAAAGCAGCAGCAGGAGGATTAGCCCACAGCTGGCTGCTGCCAGCTGTGTCCTTTCCCAAGCCCGAACCGCCCACACAGCTGACGTGCCTTTGACTCGACGACCCCGATGACCCTCAACGATCTAAGAAGACCAAGTTACTACAGTACAAGTTCTTAACGGCCGTATTCGATAGAGAACGATGTAGAAGACCATCTAAAGGTCCACAATGTGTGTTTTACTGTGGACAGGAATTGCGAAAAGTCATCTTGCCTACCTAGACGCCTACTAGACATTGTAGATTTACCACCGTCAGATTATTCTTCGCTAGAATACCGTACCAGTTCACGCCACACCATCAAACTATTTGAAGTAGATTACAATCTCTCATGTATGTTCTTTTATATTGGGTACTTGGCACCTGGAGGTACGAAAAATATCCTTCTATATGTATTCGGATCGAACCCCACCACCGTTGTTGTTACTTGGCATTGTCGAGCACGCGTTGCTTATTTGGGTGCTGTGTAGGATCGGTCGTCTCCGAGCTGCTTCCCGGCTGTTTTTTTTTTTTTTTCATGTTTCGCAACGAAAGATCCTGTGTCGCTTCTGCCGGGCTGTTTCTTCTCGGCACATTCGAAGTATTCATAGTTGGAGAGGATTGGACCTGTTTCGGGTTCCAAAGCGGCGGGTTATTTGTGAGCAACAAGTTGAACATTGGGAAGGACGCCACCTGTTTCCGGTGTAGAAGCGCTTGGTTTTGCGTCAAACAGCCGACGTCATGTGTGGCAGCCAGTCCAGCCTATTGACCCGGCACGTTTTTGCTGGTAGCGCTGAGGGGTTGCGGAACGATAGGTGGTGAAGCCTTGCGTACTGTCAAGTGTGTAGTACTTCAGTGTTGCTTGCGATCAGACACATTTTTGACTTGTATCTGAGTGCGTGCTGCGTCTGTTGCGTGTGGTTGGACAGATGTTTTGATCTTGATGGGTGCATGCGTGGGGGAATGGCATGATCAGTACAGCTCCGCTGGCGAGTTGATACACCCCCGGCCTGGCGCCGAGTGTGGGTACAGGGACTGAATCCTATTCCGTTTGTGTTGTCTTGGTTGAGTTGATCATGTCGTGATTCTTGTGTATTTGTCATCTCGTGTCGATCTGTTCCGATAGGTTCTCTACTGTCCGACATGCTGCCGGCTACGCCTTTCGCTGTCTGTTGGGGCCTTTCATTTGTCGTCTGTTTTTTTGCTCTATTCTTGTGTATCGCGTTCGTGTTGATATAGTTAGCGCCCGCACTTCAGAACCTCTAGTTTTGGTCGAAGCTACTGTAGGGTTCTTACATGTTCCTAGGGGTATGCTACAAAATGACGGCCATGTAGGTTTTTGAGAAGGGGTTCTTGTTTCTGACCTCACAAACGGTGGTCAAGTTCTTGCGAGTTTGTCGGGGTTCAAGTTCTTGACTGCCAGCGTCTCAAGTGCGGGGGCTCACTATATTTTCGGTCGTGCGTACCCCATTTGGGTAGCAATTGGCCCGGAAGGCGCCCGCATCACTTGAACCGGTACGCTTGTTTAGGAGGGCTGAGCAATTACCGGAGCGGTATTGTGAACCCCCCCCAAAAAAAACGGCTGGATATGTTACATGTTGAAGACAACAAACCATCGTCTGGAAAACGTGTGAGCTGTTCGTCGTCACATACGTGTATGTTTCTCGCCTTTTTGTTTCGTTTGCCGCCACCTTCATCCCCGGCCGCCGACAGAAGTCCGCGAACTCGTAGCGGTTGTACCATTCACCTCTGCGCCGACTATTGTGGCAGCCAAACAATATTCGTGTCCCACGCCCGGTGTAAGAAAAATAGTGATGGCCTCCTGCCCACGTAGAAGCGCCATTTTCGTCACACTCAGCAAGTAGTTCGAACCACGAAGGAAACCCGACGAGTAGCTTTTCGGGTTGGGGAATTCACACCGACAAATAGAGGGACCACCCCACAAGCTCAACGGCAGCACGCCGTCGGAAACGGCAAGCGTGGAGCAAAGACTTTGTTGCCTTCCGAATAATTCCGACGCTCATCGCGTCGAAGATATCATCCATGTCCACGAAAACAAGACAAGAGCGGGTTGAACAAAAAAATATGCAGCCCGTAGCACCTACTCACGATACCAACAGAAAGAACGATCCCAACGATCAAACGTATTCCTGTAGTGGGTGAAGGGAGACGATCTACCAATCTACCATCACGACCCGATATCATGGGGGTAATATATTATCCAACTTCCAACGTCTCATGAGACAACGTTGCTCTGGTTGCACCGCGGATAACCCAACCAAGGCCAACCAGTACGCTCCTATGTCGACAAACCAGGAACGCTATTTCCACGGTAAATCTATCTTCACCAAAACCATGTCCGTTTGCTCGGTCCATGCATACAAGAACCGTTTCTAGTAACATGGCACATAGACTACATCGGTGACCACCAACGCACCTTCGTGAACATAACGTGTCGAAGAAACGGAAAGCTGCAGAGCACTCTCGACAGTGCGGATTGCATGACGAGCACCGCCTGTTCTAGCCGATGCCTAGCACATATGTGTGATGTGAGTTCGTCAACAGCCTCGTTCAAAACAAAAAAAACCAACACTCCCCGCACGAAACGTTTGTCTCTCAGAACCACAAAACAACACATGTTCTTCTGTGCACAGGGCTTCACGGTCTATGTTTACGAAGGAAGATCCCACACAACTGGAGGAATACCTCGACAGCGCTCAATGCTGATCAATTCCGTAAAAAGTCACACTTGCTAAGGAAGGTGGCCATACGACGTCGGCCAAGGATTGCTCGAAACCACCCCCGAACGATAGCTTCCGCAACGACGACGGCCACACGACTCCGACCATGGGCTGGTTGAATCGACGCGCAAACGATAGATTCCGCAAGGACGACGGCCACACGACTCCGAAGATGGGCTTGTTGAATTTATCCCCGAAGGATAGCTGCCGAAGGGAAGCCGGCCACGCGGTTCCGATGATGGGCTTGTTGAAAGCATCCCAAAAAGACAGTTCTTTCAGGGAGGACGGCCACACGCCTCCGACGATCGGCTTGTTGAATCGATGCCCAAACGACAGCTGTTTCAGGGAGGTCGGCCACATCACCCCGACGATAGGCTGGTTGAACTTCGACCCAAACGAAAGCCGCTGCAGGGAGGACGGCCACGTGGGTCCGACGATGGGCTGGTTGAAATTTCTCTCAAACGATAGCTGCTTGAGAGGGGCCGGCCACTCGATACCGAGGATAGGCTGATTGAAGGAATATCCCAGCGACAGGTGCTCCAGAGAGACCGGCCACGTGGCTCCGACGACGGTCTGGTTGAATGAACCTCCAAGCGATAGCTTCTTCAGAGAGGCCGGCCACACGGCGTCGAAGATAGAATGGTCGAAGGTTACACCAAGCGATAGCTGCTTCAGGGAGGCCGGCCACGTGGCTCCCACGATGGGCTGGTTGAATGACGTTCCAAACGATAGCCCTGCATGGAGGCCGGCCACACCGCCCCGACGATATGCTGGTTGAATCTATGCCCTAACGATACTGCTGCAGGGAAGCAGGCCACGACAGTGTGTTCACCGGCATGTCCGAATCACATTCCAGCCGTTTGAGGCTTGGAGGCCAAACCACCGACCCTACGCTTGCTGCACATGAGTGTCCATACCGCCGTCAATGTCCTGGCCAGTGGTCTATCGGAAGCGCCCACGTCCAACCAAACACCTTCGCAGCCGGCACGCGATTCGAGGTGCAAGCCTCTGGACTGTGCTGGCTGCGTGTGGTGTGTGATGTGCGAGAAGACCACAAGGTGGAAGGTGTGTCTTCGTGAACGCGCACGTGCAACAGCTGGGTACTGCTCGACGCCTCACAAAGCTCCGGCGAAACAAGTTGCAGCTCCAGCGTAGATGCATACCAACGCTTCCTTTGGCCATCGCAAGCCTGGTTCAATGCGACAATGAGTGCGTCTGGGCACTTGCTCCCTCCTGAGACAGTGAACCGAAGATGTACAATAGGAACGAAATAATAAGGTGTTATGGGCTTCGGGACTTGCTACGCGCTTGCTCGGGTGAAGGGGATCTGGGTGCTCCGAGTTGGTAGTTACAAGGTTATGGCCTTAAGGACAGCTACGAATTGGTCATGAAACACGTGGTGCCCTGCGGTTGACCACTGTCTTATCTGCTTATGCTCGACGACGCCCACCGGTCCGTTGCACGATAGATTGGCTGACCAAACTTCCATTCGGAAAAAATGCCGCCGCAAGACTCAGAAAGAAACAGGCATGTGGGATGTCTCGCTTGCGCTAGGTATTTTGGGCCTTTCGCATGCAAGTGGAGCATACTCGATTAAAACCGCACTCATGAAACAGGGGCAACTACAGTCAAAGCCAACCACGCCTTTAGCCACTGTTCCCGACGATGCTAGGTCAACAGGTCCACCCGCGAAATGTGGACATCAACCCCATCTTTTTCTCTTCGCGTGCCTGTATCATCAAGGTTGGTCTGTGTTTCAAATACCGAAGAGTTGTTGATCCTTACTGGTGCCCAAGTCTATTTCCCCGGGGCATGCAAGGACGTTGAGCTCTATGCAGTTGCCGCCATGGGATGAGCGTCGGTTGTGCCTCTATGGTGGGGAACTAGTGCGCGTCGCCTTGATATCGTTGCAGGCGTGCACAATTATCCACATTCCACAACACGTGTTTGGTGAATGCGCAACCTTAAGGATCACCCTGATGTTCCCCTGCCCTTGCTATGTAGCTCGCCCCGCTATTTTGTGTCACAAAGTACGGACGACGACATAACTTTTCAAGAGCCCCCCTGAAAGGCTCATGGCAGCTGGATTGCGCTAGAGTGGTTGCTTCCAGCTTGTGGGAGACAACGGTTTCCGACGAGGCTCGACACCTTTGATTGCCGCAGAGATGTGGACTGCATTTTTCTGTGGCCATTGTTCAGGTTTGACAGAGCATGTTTGGCTTAATGTGTTTCGTGCTTGTAAATTTCTATCTTACCAGCCTGTGGTGTATGTCGACTCCTTCAAAATGGAAACCTTCCATTTCCCACTGTTTCGTCTCCATGTGCTGCAAACGGACTATGCGTCTGTCGTGTTTCTTGCTATTTTTTCATCAATTTGATGCTCACCTCCTTGCGAGGTTCCCTGTTACCAACGGTTCAGCACTGTACACAATCGTCCCCGCCTTCCGCCCGACAAATCCTCCAGCTTTCGGTCTACAGACCGAACGGGTACGATGTGTTTGTGTTGCATAGTCGTTTGTCGCAGCACGGCCGGCGGCCAACGGGCGGGGTATGCACAACCTGTTTTGATTTTGAGGTAGCAATGCGCCGGCCGTTCGTTGCCTTGGTTCTCTCCTTGGTGGGGAACCGAAGTTTTAAAATGCGTTTCATCTTCTGTTTTATTTCTGTTGTTGTTGCTGCTGCCATTGCTGTCGCAGTTGGTGTTGCTGATTGCCTGCACGTATTCAAACCGTTCCAGTCCCTGCTCAGTACCTTCCAACATCCGTACAGGTCCAACGGGCGCGGACGTTAAACAAACGCTGTATGTATGCACACGTACCAGAAGTTATGTCACGGAGGTTGTGGCAGGATTCCCGCAACCTGTTTCTCCAATCTCAAAGGGCCCCTGAGATTCTCATCAGTTCTTTCGAATGCAGTCATAACCGAACCCAGTCCTTTCACCTTCGGTGGTAGCCATGGCCCCTACGTTTTGCGATCGCAGTGCGATCTTGGGAGGCCTAGAAGCATACAGGGAAGTTCCAAAGGTCGGCTGGATCTACCAATGGATCTGCTTGCCAGAATGTGATACGGTGCCGGTCCGCAATTAAGAAACGTTTTCGATAGGACGCAAGGCTGAAAAATTCACGAAAACTAGAGCAAGGGCCAAGAATCACGCTCAACCGTGGATCCTACGCAAGAAAAAACACAAAAGCCAATACTCGACCGCGGAGACGACGGAAGAATAATATTGAGCCTTGCTCTCATTTTGACGTTGATTTTCTGCGGGTCCGGACTTGTCGTCTACAGGTGAAACAAAGTACGTAGGATGTGGTGGATGCCGGGACACTGCAAAGGGTGCTTCAGGACATGTGTGGTAAAGAGGGCCTCATGGACGCTTCCCAAGTGAACGACCCAATTTTTTGTCCAAACACTGGGACAGTCGCACATCTACATGGTTTGAAACGAGCATCTTTGGGAATGCGCCACATACAGTGATCGCTTGTCTTTTAGGCCCCTGAAGCCTCGAGAGAACTCGGAGGCAGCCTTAGGCCATGGAGGCCGCATCAAATCCAACACTCACATTGCATTGCAAATGAATGAATGCGGTGGGGACACATTTCTCTAGGTTCTGCTGCATGCACCAATTTTGCGGGTTACAATTTGATCTTGGCGCCTACTCCGTGATGTATTGTCTATCGATTTTCCACCATTAATTTTAAGTATCTAACGCCGATTTCGGGGCAACGGATAAACTCAAATTGCCACTCAGCTTTGCAGTCATCGAGCGGCATCGAGTGCATGTCAAACACCTATATCAGATTGGGAGCAGCACTTCATCCTTGTGAGCTGCCCTGTTTGGGACAACAGCGGTGTCATCATCAACGAACACCATTTGTCTGGTGTACGTCGCTTGCCCTGAGGAGGGTTCTTGTGAGAGCATCCTCAAGTCAATCACAACACGCAAAAAGAGAGGCGTCTAGTGGTAACACGTCGGTCGCTTAAAGGGCGACAAAGTCGCAAAGCTTGCCGCCTTCTTCGGCGTACACAACAACAGGATTTCAGATGCTGTATAAACAGAGTAGTTTAGGCGGCTTAACGACTTATCTTTTCGAGGTCTACAAGCTTTACCTGCCCTATCGGCACCACCACGACCACACATCAACCCTTCTATGACCCTGTCTGTGCCCACCGTCTGTTGCGGGCAGCTGGGTGGAGGTAGCTGTTGCGTCTACAGTAGTAAACTCGTCTCTTCTGCTGTACTTCTGACTCTCTCCCGCACCCTCTCCATTTTTTTTTTGTTGCCGCAAACAAGTAGTTACAAGTAGACCCAAAGGGGTTAAGAATTTGAGCCTCGAAAGACAATTCAAACAACCTGATTGACCACCATTACAGCAGTAGTAGTGAGCTCGGCAAAGAATATCAACACTAAAACCTATACAGCGGCCACAGACAAAAGGCGTAGGAGGACCCTGGTAACTAAGAGCCCAGCCTTGGCCAAAACTAGAGAGACGTGTGGGCCACTGTACACGATTGATTGCTTTCGACCCGGCTAACCCAACGGACGACGCATTTGTCCGTCCGTTACCGAAACGGTTCTAACTGCTTCCCCAAGTACACACGGGTTACCGTACAAGACCGTGTAGGGGTCCTGATGTTTTTCGAACGAGGTGCCTTTGTTCTCGAACATATCCTACCACACAGATGCTGCGGTGCGGAAAAGAGAACATTACAGGAATTGTCGCCGCCGATCGTTCTCGGCGTCCATCTTCGGGAACCCTGCGATTCGTCCTCCGTTTTCAAGCTCCGAGCTGCTATGTATACGTGCGGGTCGTGCTAAATAGCTCCTATTTCTTGCTGTTGGAGGGAGAGCAAGACATACATGGAGACCCGCTCTACGCCATTAGGTTCAGCTGACGCGCGGGCACCGATGTAACTCTCCGGGCACCTCTAACTCTGCATCCGTAGTTTTTGTACACAGAAAAGCGCAACTACCGCACGTAACGTGGACATCGAGCTGACGAAAACCCTGTCCATTCTTCCCCACGACTGATTGCTGAAAAGAACAGCAGCAGCACACACAGCGTTCTGCTCTTGGGCGAAATGTGTCAACAGGGAGTCGGGGCCTTCCTGATGTATTGCGGTCCAATCATTCCAGCATGACGTCGGCACCGGGGGAACTTGTGTAGCTGAACAGCAGACGCGAACCGCTTCCTTCTTCACGACGATATATTGTCGAAGCCTGCCTCTCTCAGTAAATAAATGTACACGCCGAGGCCCTGCTGTTATGTCATTCCGGGTGCCGTCTGTACCCCCCCGTCTTGTATGCATGCATCATATACTGTATAGACTAGTCTACCTCAATGGTACAACAAGTAGGCTACGCGGTGTTGTTTTTACTGAAGTACGGTAGAAAATAGTCTACAGACACAGCTGATTGACATCGCCAGCCATGTGGGGGGTAAACACATGCAACACACCGCACCTGCCGTGACCAGACCTCCGATGCCATCTTCTGGGTCCGAGACGTTCAGAGGCAAGCAAACGCTGCAGTGGAGAGCTAGATCTCTCTGTGGCTGAAACAACGCTGAAACTGCGGGTCTGCTGTTGTTGTGCAAGAGAGGAGATACTACAGTTGTTGTTGACGGCCAAAGAGAGAGAGCCAAAGAGAGAGCGAGACACACACACACACAGAGAGAGAGAGAGAGAGACAGNAGAGAGAGAGAGAGAGAGAGAGAGAGAGAGAGAGAGAGATCCTTGGGTAGCAGCTGCCACACGCTGCCAGCAAGGAGAACCGCGAGAAAAGGCGCCGGGTCGAAACGCGTTCTGTTCTTCTTTGGTGTTCCCTCGAGTGGTTCGGGTTCGGTGTTCGCGCTTCGTTTCTATTCCGAGTTTTGCACAGGAGGAACCGTGCGGGTACTGACCCGGGCGATCCACCATCGACAAACTGTGTGGGTTGTGGGTATATCGCGAATGGGTACTATAGTCGTTGCCGTGTGTGTAAGATATAGTAGCTGTCGCTAAAACGAGCGACAGCTGATAGATGTAACTGTCGTCAGACGTGTGCGTCCGCGGGAGGTGGAAGAGACCCTTTCTTCTTCTTTTTCTCTTTGCAATTCACGTCATTGGTTACCCGCGACGGCGCTGAAGACGCCCATGTCCGTGTACTTGACCCTCGTACTCTGTGCTAACTCCCCAAGTCTAACCTCTTCCTGCAGCCTAGCCTTCATCGTCGGCGAATTTCCAAGGTTACCAATCCTGTCGAAACTCATGGGCTCTACCATGAGGTCCACAAGTCTCTTCGCCCTACTGAGACAGACGAAAGTAAGCCCCGTGCAGGCCTCCTTGGGCCCCAAGTCAATGACGGCCTTGGCTAAAGTCTGCCCCTGGGACTTGTGCATCGTAATTGCCCAGCAGAGCCTAAGGGGCAGCTGCGTCCTGACCTGCGTCCCCCCGTCCTGCCAGGTGGTGTCGACGGGAGAAATAGGGACACAACGTCTATACCTCTCCTGAGACGACCATTCCCCCCCCGAGTACCCTTCAAACTTGACGACAACGTAAAGGGGGAG